AGCAAGCATTTATTCTATTTTACCATAATAATAGCGAATATAGGACCATCATTAACTTCTTCAATTTTTGAGCCAACTAGTTTTCTATTTCGTCCATGATAAAGGGCTAGAAATTCTCAGCAACCTTAATCTCATGGATCTTTTTCATGATTATGTGTAGAAAGAAAATGACCTTTTAAAATATCTTTAATTTTCCCGAATAAACTAATTTATATGACAGCTTTAGGAGAAGCAAAATAAGTAAATTTGGGCTTCGGCTGAGAATTAAATCAACTTCATATATTCCTCGGGGAATGGAAGTGCACTTACTTTTATGAATATTCGGTATTAAGAAAATATAAATAAATACTACTCCTATATCATAGGTACATTATTCTTTTTCTTGGCGTATCTGACCATACCAGGGATTGAGATACAATAAATATAATATTATTATTTTATAATGCTTATTGTGTTTTCTATGATACAATAATAATATAAAATTTTATGATTTTTATAAAATGGTTTTTAATTTTACAATTTGATAAATTATTGATTATTATTTTTTATTTAAAATTATATGCTATGATTTTTTTTTTATTTTTTTTTTTTGAGTTAATAATCCGCGTTTGGTTTGATAGACAACAGATTAGTTCGTCATTTCAATGTCATCTACTTGATATTTGTAATAACTATTTATGCCAAATAAATTATATTCGATATACGAGCTGAAGAATCTTGGCTAAACGAGCTAATTGTCCAAATTCATAATTTGAAGGGAGAAACTTATCTATATAGCTTATATTAAGCTTGACATTAGAATTTAGATAATCTACCTACTCATTATTCATGAGACACACAAATCAGAACAAATAACACGATCTCAAAAAAGAAGGTTTACATAAAATTTCAAAGATATTTTTATAAACTTATTAACTTCCCAATTTATAAATATTCAGATCATATATTAATGAATTTTTTGAAGGAAATTGGAATATCACAACAATAAATTCAAGAAATCGATGAGGGCATCTCATACAAAAATTTGAATACGCATATTTATCATTTTTCTTCAACAAACGAATCGAACTAAAACTTTCGAACCCAAACTCTCGACTAATTTTCTAACTCTCTATTATAAATTATTTGACCGTTAGAATGCAATCTTGCGTTTTGAACAAAAAATTTGTACCTGTCAGCCTAATTATTTGTAATTGATTACTGCTTAAGACAAAGATTCAATCACATGCGCGCGTATTAATTTCCCCAAAAACCATCATTAATATTACGAAACTTTGGTCCCTAACTCCAAACTTTCCCTTTTTACTTTTGTAGCCTACATATATATATTTATGTTTTTTAGTTTTATTTTAAGGTCCTAAATTTGGTACAATTAACTCTTGATTTTAATTCAATTTCGTTCAATCAACAACATCTGAAAATTTTCAAGTTGATGCAGCAGCTTTCTCAAATGTCATTTTGTTTGATTCATCAAAAAATTCTCCGATGGATGCCGATTGCGGTCGATGAAATCATAATCTTAGGACATGCTTGTTTATGAAATAATTCATTTCATACTCAAAATCTAACTCAATTTTAACTCAATTCCACTATCACTTATATTATTTATATAATTAACCATTATAAACTAATCATTCTTACATATCACACCAACTTTAATTTACTATTTATCCACTCACATAATTTTAACTACCTATCATTTTCAATCATTTATATTCTACTTTTACATCAAATCATTAATAACTAGTATGTACCCGTGCGATGCACGTTGGGCACATAACATAAAACATATTGAATTACTTATTTTAAATGTAATTAATCGAATTTAACATATAATTATGGAAACAAATAAAAATAAAAATAAAATCATATATTATTAAAAACTACTCTGCACACAGTATTATTTGTTTGATTTGGGGGCAAATCATGTTCACCACATATTAGAATTTTCAAACCCTTTCTGTTGGTGACGCGCGAAACAACAACATATAACTGGCCATGACTGAAAACTGGTTTCTTCAAGAATAAACCAACGTGGGATAAGGATTGACCCTGGCACTTGTTAATAGTCATTGCATAAGAGGCCACGATAGAGAACTGCCTTCGTTGAAACTTAAAAGGTACTTTTGCATCCGAAGGAGTTATCGTTATTCGAGGTATCAACACTTTATCCACTGCATGGTCGCCCGTAAGTATCCTACATTCTAGGACGTGATTGGAGATTCTTGTTACAACCAAACGTGTCACAATCCCATAGAATGATCCATGTTCCGCAACAGCATAACCGGAGTTCCCACCTTCAAATGCAACATATGATTTGGTGTACCAGAACATTTGAGAGAATTTAAGAACTCAGGAGTGTGGATTTTTGACAAGAAGTCAGAATTCAAATCGGATTTACACGTACTGTCGGAGCTCAAATATACACGACCTTCTGTTAGATTCAAAGACGACATGTATTGGTTGATAGACTCAACGATCTCCAATGTAGTGAGCATCTTGTGCGATGCACGGACGGACTTGTTTCTTGAGACATTTTTTTTAAAAAAATTATATTTAAAATGTAATTATTTATATTTAAACAACTCATTATTTTAAATATAATTATTTATATTGAAACGATAATTACGGATCAATTTATGGAATTGGGATATGTGATAGTTTTGCAGTTATCTTGCTAAAGAATGGATTGTGTAGAGATTTAAATAACGTGTCATTGTATTTTTTAGATATCTAATCATTTTTATTAACTTGTCTCCAGCATAAAAATTATGAGAATATTCAAATGCATATGTGATTTTGTAAGAAAATGACTATTTTTTAATTTAATGACTACATTAAAAATAAATTTAAAGGATCAGAATAATATATTATAATATATATATATATATATATATGAATAAAAATCAATTATCTCGAACTCTCTATATATACAAATATATGTAAAAAAACATTAATTATCTTAAATGTAACCACTGAACAATTTTTTAGATATTCATAATGTTATGATTATTGTCTAATAACTAATTATATTTGAAAATATATAAAAATATGTCAACTACTTTTAATTTTCATGAATTTAGTGGGTAATAAATTCTTAAATATAGCTAGAATCTAATGTAATTTTTATCTATACAAAATATTAATGGCCCCAAATCAAGAAGATTTGTTTGCACTTATTGATACTCAATTGATGTATATTATAAATTAATAAATATTGTCAATTTTGTCACATACATCTTTTTCATTTTAAAAGGAAATTGTTCTTCCAAAAATGGTGTTAGGAATATCTGCTGTCAAACTCAAAAGATTATTAGATTACTCATACAGAAATATAGAAAAAAAATATTTTGAAAGGATACCAATTAAACTAACGGACTTATATGGATTTAAATCAAAAGGATAAAGGAAAACATGTGTTACAAAGAGTAAAAATTGGTTAGATAAATATTGACTCATTCAATTTTTTTTAAAATTCGAAAAAAAGTGTTTAAGGCGGGATAAATGTGAACCAAATAAAAATGTTTTAGATAAATATTGACTCATTCAATTTTGGAAGAAATCTCATCCAAAATGAAAGGAATACCATCCCAAAACAGTTTCCAAAAAAATTCAAAGTTCCAAAAAACAGATTTAAGCGGAATCCGAAAAAATTTCAAACACAATATTAGGGGGAAAAATAGGTTTTAAGCGGGAAAACGAAATGATTTTTTTCGAATTGTTCAAATAATTTTTCTTCACCGTATTATATAGTAATAGATTATTTTATTTTAAATATTATTTTAATATATTATTAAAATCCTACTAACTAACCCTACCACTTTTTTTTAAATTTAACTCTAGTTAATCAAAATAACTCATTTTGAGAAAATTATTTCACAAACAAGCATGCCCCAGTTTTTGCCTCATAATGAAATGACCCGAACGCCTGATTTTTGCAGATCTTATCTTTCTAAAAAAAATAATTAGTAAACTTTTAGATAACATGTTTTTAATTAAAGATCAGACAACAAGATAAAAGAGAGTAAAGTTCAAGTGTATGTTTAGGGTGCGATTGACTAGAGATTATAATTAATTTTGACTGATGGAACAGTTTTTTTCACTTTTTAGGTTAATATTAAACTCAAGTTTTATCTAACTCAATCCTTCTAAGGATTATTTATATAATAAAATAACATCGATCAATCCTTCTCACATACGCCATCAATTTTAATTCATTATTCATTTACTCACATATTTTTAGCTACATATCATTTCCAGTAATCATTTTTCTTATTTTACATCACATCAAATTTAATCTTTACATTTTAAATATTTGCATTTGGGCTCACCTTGTCATGGTGCGCTTCATCTGCGTGGGACCGCACCAGTTTTACCCATGATTTCTTACATGGTATCAGAGTCGATTCTACGTGGGACCGTGTGATGACGTACCCGTCACCCAGCCAAGTTGGGCTTAGGCTCCCAGCTCCATATATGGGATTGGGCTTTCGTGTGAAGGACTCACAAGTGAGAGGGCGTGTTAAAATATCACTTGTGAGTTGTCCAACGTCGTTTATACATGGGAAATAGGCCTAACTTTAAGTCTAGTAGGCTACTTCTCCTTCCACCAATTGATTTTGGGATGGAACCTCACTTGGGCTTGATCTGGGCTTCCCCATTTCTTAAAGGTAAGAATTCGGGGGTAAAAGTAGTCCCACGCAGATGGAAGATTTTTCCTCGATGTATCCACTACCTTTAGTGGCAATCACTATGTCACTACGACTGCCTTAACGGGCAATATCGGTCTAAAATCTCCACAAAAAACAACAGACATGCCTCCAAATGGAAGATTTTTCCTCGATATATCCACTACCTCCAATAAGGCTCGCAGGATAGTGTCGACTAGGCTTGTAAACAAATCAAATTTTTTTAATTCGATTCGATATTCGAATTCGATATTCGTGATTCGAATTCGAATACGAATAATGTTTTATATTCAAAAGTTAAACGAATCCGAATTCGAATTTGTAGATATTCGATTCGAAATTCGAATATTCGATTCGTTAACAATAATTATATAAATTTTATAAATTATATATAGTATACATATTGTTTATAATATATATGTATATATATATTGTTATATTCCTACTATTTTTATGACATAAAAAGTACAAACATCATAAATTAACAAATTTTTCTAAAAATATATGAAAAATAAAAATTATTTTTTGTAATTATAATATTTTTTAGTTATAATTTTTTTTTGAAAACGAATTTCGAATCGAATCGAATATGTTCGAATATTCTAAACGAATCGAATACGAATAAAAAAATGAGTTCGTTAACGAATCGAATACGAATTCGAATCTTCGAATATTTTAACGAATCCGAATCGAATCTCTGAGTATTCGCTTTGATTCGATTCGTTTACAACCCTAGTGTCGACTATATGGAAGCAATATTTATTCATCATCGGTGTTTCATCCCAAATGACCAACCGACACTGCATAATCAATTCAACCAAATGACTTTGTTGGCTAATGTCACACAAAGAACCTGTCATTGGGTTTAGGGGGATTCTAAACCAAGAATGCTCATTGCATCCGCCGAGTAACAAAAGTGATGCGATACCACTCAATGCAACATTGAACACTACTTCACGTTTCGACCTCAGCAAAGCATGATCAGACAACACCCTCGAGACATACATTTTACCGGTGTCTTCGTAACAATAAATGAAAAACATGCGTCCGTGCTTACTGTAAACTAAGTCTATTATCGAGTGATAAACATTGAGCTCTTCATCGGTCATGTTGACAACCAACTCATGATTCTCAATCGCAAGTGCACGACCACCATAATTCAACTCTTCCATCACAAGTTTGTTCATCGATGTCTTATTATGATCGAGATTAAAAAAAAGACATGGTACTGTATTTGCGTAATCTGGTCCCACGTCTGCGCAATATCTTCTCAAGCTCAGCCAAAGCAAGGTTCTTTACTTTCTCACCACTCAACACCAACACTGAACGACAAAATCAAAATTTTATCCAGTCGACAACCACAAAGCTTTGCCTTTGTACATTATGCAATTAGCCCTTCTGCTAGCATGCTTATCAGATAGAATGCTCTCGTTTGGACCAAATTAATTCAATTTTTCGGGGGCACCCGAAATCATCTAGCACAATAAATAAATAAATAAATAACACACAAAAGTATATAATTATAATTGAATAGGTTACCTGTATGTCATAAAACTCTTCGTCGACTATATAAGATGTCGTCTGATAGGTAAGGCCAGCAGGCATCCCACACAAACACCGGTCGACCAAGAGTATCAGAGAACAAAAGGATAGCAAAGAGGTTCCTCAAACATATAGCGCTAGACCATTGGCTTGCCTCAATAATGCCTTCAATATACTCCTTATCGTCCTCCACCAGACTGAAGGAAAAACACGATTTGCGATACGAACCGTGTTGGATGCCATTCAACTTCATATACTCAGGATGGCAAGTTTCTCCTCGAACAACGTTGATAATGCACCTCAAGTAATATATATCTCCAGCACCAAGGAGGTCAAAGTACAAATGCACTATCCGATCTCCAAATTTTAGGGCTCCCCACTGTTCATATCTGAGCGTGCCATATAAATTGAGTGGAGCCTCAATGTATGTAAGTTCATGGCAGCATGATACTTCTTGTTGGCCTCTATCCAAGCCGAAAATTTGCTACCCGCATTTTTATTTTTCTTCACGACATCATCATCGGATCTTCATCGTTGTAGGGGGATACATCATCCCCGCAATTTTATAAAACTAGAAACAACATATTTTCTAAAATTTAGTTGAGTATTCCATAGATACAGTTTTTCCATACCTTAACATCATGGAAAACAAACTCAAGCCCTAGAGTTATTTCTTTGTTTGTCGAAAATTTTCTTGAATAAAATCGAAACAATCGCAATATTACAGTTTTGTTATTTTTTATATATTTTTAAACATATAAATATTATATTATTTTAACCAGAAAAATAATATAAAATATATAAAAATTATTAAAATAATAAAGACACTTTTATAACAATAAATAATAAAATATTTCAATCATTTAGGTAAATTTGATTAACCAACCGAATAACCCAATTATTTCAGTTTGGTTTTAAATTGAATTCGCACATTAAAAACTCGGATTGCAAAATGCTCAATAGTATTAAATGTTATGCACTGTCAGACTGCACAACAGTGTTAAAATGTGAAATATAAATATTATCACTAAAAATATTTTATTATAAATAATAAATTATTACAATTATATCGGTTAATCAATCGAATAAAGTAGTTATTTCGATTCGGAATTAGTTTGGGCTGTAACAAATCATTAAACATCTATGGACTGGGACTACACAATAGTGCTAGACAAATTGCACATTAATGAATATCATAATGCACATTATCGAAATATAAAATTTCTATTCGAAATTTTAGATTCTAGTTCGATTTACTCTTGTTTACATCAAAAAACTTGATTATCTTGGTTCGAAATGTTTGGCTTTTTTTAACCGAAATAACTAAACAACCGAAATATATAAAAATATTATTATTTCTATTGTTACTATATTTTTATGCATTGGAATTGCCCACTAAAGTTAGACGAATTGCACTGTAATGACTATCTGATTGCACAATAACTACCAAACTTGGCCGAACTAATTTTTTCAGTTCAAAAAATTATATTTGGTGATTGCACAGTATCCAAATATAAATTTTCTTTGAAATTTTATATTTCGGTTAGATTTACTATTTTTGCATTAAAAAACTTGATTAGTTTGGTTTGATATCAGTATTTTTTTTAAACTGAAATAACCAGACGAACGCACTACATAAAAATATATTATTGTTATTATTATTATTATATTTTTATGCATTGCGATTGCACAATAACGTTAAGCGAATTGCACTTTAATGACTAATTAATTGCATAATATAGACCAAACTGAATTTTTCAGTAGACATGTTATTTGAATTTTTAATCTGCACATGAAAACACATTAATGTGCAATTTATGTATAATTATTATGCATTTAGTATTTTTTACTTTCTTTTTATGATTTACAGATTTAATAAAAATTATACATATATTAAATTTTTAAAATTACATAAAGACCCCTATACATTGTCTAATTTACAAAATTCAACCCAAAAAACTCCTCTGTCCACTGCCATATCCGATTGCCGGAACTGATCTCAAGCCGCCCCCTACCGCCGCCAACCTTGTCAGCAAAACACCATCCACGACGAGGACAACAACCACCAGCCGCCGACCATGACCTATCGGAGCGACTAGGGCCCCAAATCACAAACCCTTAAAAATCCACGATCCTCACCATTGTCAACTCCCCGCCCGCCGGAGTCCCCATCAGGCTACTCCCATCGCCGCTAGCCATACCAAAACCACGTCGCCGTCGATGTGGACAACAACAGACGACATCAGCACCAATTTTCGCTGCAGCGACGACCACGATCGGTTCGGTTGATCGCCGGCACCTTCCCCACACCGGACTGGTGTTGGCGGTGGTGGAGGACTGGTGTTGATAGTGGCGGAATTAATTGTCGGGGGTTCAATCGAGGTATGGCGACAGCTGTGACGGGCGACTTGACCAGGGGCACTGTCGCTTGCGGGCGAGCGTTTGTGGTTGTATGCTGGAGCCGGTTGAAGGAAGCCGCGTGCGGTGGACCTACACAGACGACGGGCTAGTTTCCGCCAGAGCCTGCTTGGTCGTATCCGTCTCTAGCGATGGTCTGCGGAGGCGCGGCGGCGGGGGGCTCCAAAATTGCCATATTGTCATTAATGAGTGACTATTATTTATTAAAGTTTGACTTGATCATGACCATTGATATGATGTATTCAATAGTCCAGATTCATTCTTATTTATTTCACTATCTACCATTGTCATATGATCTTAATTATATATATATTAAAAAAAATATAAGTGGACAATTAAATAAGGTGAGAGAATGGAGAAATGACCTATTCTTCCCGTTCAGCAGATTGAATGAATTGAGTAGGCCCATTCATTCATCAAATTAAATAATTACCACAATCCATGAATCTGGCTCTTATGCATTTAAATGAGGGATTTAACGCTCCATTGCAGATGCTCTACGGGAAGCTTTAGCAATAAGTATTTCCCAAGGTTTACAAACTCACTCCTACAGGTTTTATTATTAAATATGTAAGGTTTAAGGTTTATGTTTTTACATGAGGATTGCAAATCCAAACCCTTCATAAACCTCTTGTGGGGGCCCCGCATCTGCAATCAATCTCCCAAATTCTCTTTATTTGTTTTTATTCATTTTTTTAATCCATTTGGTACGGTACTTAGATTTTCTTATGATTTTTTATTATAAAGTTAGTGAAAAATACGTAGGACTCATAAAAAATAAGTGTATGGAATTTATTGTTATTGAAAGTCATGAGTGTAATAATAAAAAAAATAATGGAGTTTTGAATCATGTGTTATATTGAAAAATATCAGTTATGCTATGGAGTCATCGGATGGCTCGATTTATGGAGTCATCCACACTTATTCACCAATAGTTTATTGACATGTGTCCTGTAATTAATACAATTTGAACATGTGTCAATACATTAAGTGGTGAATGACTCCATAAGAAAATCATCCGATGACTAATTCTATGTGGAAAATATAAACCGAGATTTGTTGGAAGATATTTTTAAAGATGCTCTAAGCCAAATAAATAGCAACTAAGGCCATGCAAACTTCTCCATAGAATTTAAAATCTATAAATAGTTTAGTGCCATTCTTATCCTCAAATATAATAGAAGAAACCAAAAATAAAAATAATAAGAATACTAATAATAATAGGGAAGTACAATGACCACAGTACCCCCAACCCTTGCTCTCCCCTTGATCACAATCCTGATGCTGGCAAGCCCTTCCTTCCCTTGTCACGCTACGCCTTTCAATCCCACCGCATACCAGTCGTGCGTCCGTTGGAAAACCGGCAACAGAGCAGACAACTCCGACTTCCACTACCGCTACGACCCCTCTTTCACCTCCATCCTCAACTCCACCGCCCAAAACCTCCGCTGCGTCCGATCCTCCTGCCCCAAACCCCTCCTCATCTTCACGCCGGAGGACGAGTCCCAGGTCCAGGCCGCCGTCGCCTGCGCCTCCTGGCTCGGCATCAACCTCCGGACTCGCAGCGGCGGCCACGACTACGAAGGCCTCTCCTACATCTCCCTAATCAACGAGCCCTTCCTCATCCTCGACCTCCAGAAGCTCCGCCACGTCACCGTCAACCCCGTCGACGGCACGGCGTGGGCCCAGACCGGCGCCACCACCGGCGAGTTCTACTACCAGATCTCCCAAGCCAACCGCTCCCTCGGCTTCCCCGCCGGCATCTGCCCCAGCCTCGGCCTCGGCGGACACATCTCCGGCGGCGCCTACGGCCCCCTCATGAGAATGTACGGCCTCGGCGCCACCAACGTCCTCGACGTTCGCATGGTCGACTCCTCCGGAAATATTCTCGACAAACGCTCGATGGGCCCCGACGTCTTCTGGGCCGTCCGCGGCGGCGGCGGCGGCAGCTTCGGCGTCGTCCTCGCCTGGAAGCTCCAGCTCGTCCCCGTCCCGGAGAAAGTCACCGTCTTCACGGTCGCGAAGACGATGGGAAACGGCAACGGGATAGACGCACTGCACACGTGGCAGACGGCTGCCCCGACTGTCGATCCGAGACTTTTCGTTAGGGTCGTCATGAGTGTCCAGGGCGGAACTGTCCTCAATCTGTACAACGGCATGTTCCTCGGGGACAAGGGAAGCCTCGAGTGCATAACGAGGAAGAGCTTCCCCGGGCTCAAGCTAAGGCTGAGGGACTGCAAGGAGATGAGTTGGATCGAGGCCGTGATCTACATGGCGGGTTTCCCGCCAGGAACCGAGCCCGATGTATTGATGAAGGGGAAGCCCACGTTCTTGAACTATTTCAAGGCCAAGTCGGATTTTGTGAACCGGCCCATCACCAAGGAGGGGCTCGCGGGCTTACGGGACGTGCTCGTGAAGGCCCATCCTGGTGGGGAGTACATGATTCTTAATCCATTAGGGGGGGCAGTGGCGAACATGAGCGAGGACGAGCTTCCTTTCTCTCACGGGAAGAACGACTACTTGGTGCAGTATGTCGCCTATTTGAATGACGGAAGCCTGGAGAATCAGATGAAGAACGAGGAATGGGTTAGAATGGTGTACAATTACATGGAGCCTTTCGTCACGAGTAACCCGAGAGAGTCGTACGTTAATTTCAGAGATCTCGACTTGGGGCAGGACGAGAGGTGTCGGGGAAACTGCACGTGTCCTTATTTGTGGGGTGAGAGTTACTTCAAGGGCAACTTTTACAGGCTCGTTTCGGCCAAATACCAGGTTGATCCGAAGAATTTTTTCAGATTCGAACAGAGCATTCCGCCTTGGCACGAAGTGGTGGAGAAGAAGGTGTGTTATGATCTGATTACAGTTTGTGTCCGGTAGCCGTGAGTCTCGGTCTGACTGGGGCCGGCTTTAGGAAGGCCTCACATGGCTTTTGTGGTGTTTGGGGATTAGTGTTTTTCATCACTTGTAATGTTTTATTTCAGAAAAAATAAAATAAACAACAGTTGAGTAACTAATTTTTCATCCAGCTCAGATTTATTTTGTCAGAGAACAACCAATGGAATGAGGAAGCAATGACCAAGTTATCACAATTTCCTTCAGAAAACTTGATATAATTTCTCGTACATATGATTTAAGTCATCGACTGCAAGGGTTTTATATTTGTTGGGGAAATTTTGGAAACTTCACCGCAATATGAGACCTGATTGATGATCGAGAGACACACTGTAGAGCATGGCTTTCTAAATGATTAAAAGCACTATTTGAAGTTCTGCTAGACAGAACCATGCAATACAAGCGTTATTTCAAAATATTATCCAAAACGAGAATGAGGCTAGTAGAGGCATAAACGACTCGAGCTGTTGATACTCGAGTTCGAGCTTTTATAGAGCCAAGCTGATAAATGGGTTTGCCTCACTAATATTTAGTTACTAAAACAATTAGAAAAACAAGACTTAACAAGTAACAAACATCGATCACAGCACAAGCATTTTCAAAATTCACACAAGAAGAAAAACCATAGTACTGTTGCAACCAATTACAAACATGACTGTCACCATGAAATCACACCAGTACACTTACAAACTCCTCACTCAATAGCTCAAACACAGACCCCTCAATTAAAGAAAACAAACAATCACCCACTAATAAAAAGGAAACCATGATGAGATCACAGGCCAAATCACAGGGAAGTGAAAAAAAGAAAAAACCACACATGCAAGTTGCAACATTTCAAGCATTAACCTCCTCTTCCTCTTCTTCTTCCTCTTCATACTCATCGTCATCGGCCGTGGCATCCTGGTACTGCTGGTACTCAGCCACCAGATCATTCATGTTGCTCTCGGCCTCCGTGAACTCCATCTCATCCATACCTTCGCCCGTGTACCAATGCAAGAAAGCCTTGCGCCTGAACATGGCCGTGAACTGCTCGCTCACCCGTCGGAACATCTCCTGAATGGAAGTCGAGTTCCCTATAAAAGTCGAAGCCATCTTCAAACCCTTAGGAGGGATGTCACAAACGCTCGACTTCACGTTGTTCGGGATCCACTCGACAAAGTAGGACGAGTTCTTGTTCTGCACGTTGATCATCTGCTCATCGACCTCTTTCGTGCTCATCTTGCCGCGGAACATGGCCGAGGCCGTCAGGTAGCGGCCATGTCGAGGGTCGGCAGCACACATCATATTCTTGGCGTCCCACATCTGCTGAGTTAACTCGGGGACCGTGAGGGCCCGATACTGCTGGGAGCCTCGTGAGGTGAGAGGGGCGAACCCGACCATGAAGAAGTGGAGGCGCGGGAAGGGGATTAGGTTGACCGCAAGCTTCCGGAGATCGGAGTTCAGCTGACCGGGGAACCGGAGGCAGCAAGTGACGCCGCTCATGGTGGCGGAGATCAGGTGGTTGAGGTCACCAACTGAAATACAATCAGCCCATATTCGTGTAAATGAAGTGTTTCATCAAGAGATGCACGAAAAAATCAGTATTTTTTAGAACTCTAATTTCAACATTTTAGTTCTAGTTTTCTCAAGTTTTCATTTTGCAGACTGGATAGGAGTGTCTCTCTAAGAATGTGATTGGTAAGGAGTTAAAAGCTAATCAAAATTAGTTTGATTGGATTAGTCTTTTTTTTACTCACTTTAACTCAAAATCTAACTCAACCCCACTATCCTCAATATTATCAATATAATTAAAGACTGAACTCGTTCTCGTTTTGGCTCCGCCTTCATGAAATTCCAAGACCCAAAAAATGTCAATCATCTCTCGCCTACATCACATCAACTTTTAATTCACTATTCTATTCATGCACTGACATAATTTTAATTACCAATCACTTTCACCATCTCTCTTACTTTTACATCGGATCAACTTTAATCATTATATTTTAAATATTATTTAATTACAATCTCTCTCATCTCATTCAAATCAATCGATTTGATCGATTCTAACTGTTTATGACTACTTACCAATCACCTCCTAAGAAACTCAAGTCATGTTTTATTGCCACATTTGATAATCTAAGCACAGGGAAATGTACTTACAGGTAGGAGTAGCAAGCTTCAGAGTACGGAAGCAGATGTCATAGAGAGCCTCATTATCAAGAACCATGCACTCGTCGGCATTCTCGACTAGCTGATGGACAGAGAGAGTGGCATTGTACGGCTCGACAACTGTGTCGGACACCTTGGGCGAGGGGAAGACTGAAAATGTCAACATCATGCGGTCGGGATACTCCTCTCTGATCTTCGAAATGAGAAGGGTGCCCATACCAGATCCAGTGCCTCCACCCAAAGAGTGACAGACTTGAAATCCTGTCAATGGAATTATACAAAATTATTATTATTTCAATCTGGTAGAAGGAATGTGTTGCAGGATGGCTGAAGTTTATCGATGTTATCCACATTGCAATGACTTTTGTTCTCCAATGAACGACAATATCATGTAAAAGAAAGATAATATTGTAAAAAGTTGTTGCATAAAGCAAATTGAGAGGAAGCAGATTGAAAACATAAGGTAGTAGGGAAAAGTTTGAACAGTTGATCACGCACACATGCTCACATGGTGTGTGTTGATCTAATGTTAAAAAACCCGGTCACAGATAAGCACAAATTTATCAGGTAGAGGATGAAGAATGGTTAATGTACCTCTAAAACAAAAGCTACACATATGCTTATGGCAGAAAACAAGCAACACAACCAGCAAATCACCACTGTGGTTCAGAAATCAGGACCCAATGATCAGGCAAAACCAACCCCACAGACAGATAATACTCACAATCATGAACCAAAGCAATTATAGAACATCAAGCTCAGAACAATCAGTGATAAACAAAGCAATCGACATGGCATCTAAAACAGAGGCTACAGAGCACAGAATAACAATACAAAAGGGGAAAATTACACCCACACAACCACGGCCCAGCAACACCATCCAACAACAGATCTAACCCAACAATCACCAGATCCAAACAAACAAGAGCCATATCACAACAGCAAAACCAATTCAATTACCTTGCAAGCAGTCACAGTTCTCGGCCTCCTTGCGAACAACATCAAGCACGGAATCGATCAACTCAGCTCCCTCCGTATAATGCCCCTTGGCCCAATTATTCCCGGCGCCGGACTGCCCGAACACGAAATTGTCGGGCCTGAAGATCTGCCCGAACGGACCGGATCTGACGGAGTCCATGGTCCCCGGCTCGAGGTCCATGAGGACGGCGCGTGGGACGTACCTCCCGCCGCTGGCCTCGTTGTAGTAGACGTTGATGCGCTCGAGTTGGAGATCGGAGTCGCCGCTGTACCTCCCGGTGCTGTCGACGCCGTGCTCATCGCAGATCACTTCCCAGAACTTGGCGCCGATCTGGTTGCCGCATTGACCGCCCTGGATGTGCAAGATCTCCCTCATTTTTCCTCGAGCGGGTTACACGTCCCGGCCCTTCCTTGATCGGAGAACTGAATTGACGGGCTTGGAATAGATATTCGTTTTTTTGGGTGCTTTTTCTTGTGGTTGCGGAGAGTGGATGAGAGGAAATGGAGGGAGAATAGATAAGAGATTGGCTAAAAATGGCGTCACCGAGTTGTTTTTGTATGGCGAGTTTATATATATGTGATTTTGTGAATTGAGGCTCGGAGTTTGCATGAATTCTCGGTACTGCCATTAGATTTTTTCGAGGGTCGTCCCTATTTTTGTTCCATCTTTCATCTTATAAGTTGCATTACATTACCTAACGATTATATCTATATAGCTTCTATCTATATAGTTTCTTTTTTTGCATCATTAATAAAAAGTGATTGAATGATTTGAAAAATAATGAATTGCGGACATACAAGTTGTTTATGTATTGATGATTAGTTAGAACATGACATAACCATCATTATAAGCTAATTAATGGGTTACTCTTCCTCCTCTCTCCATCTTCTCTATAGAAAAAAAAAAAGTACACAACACAACTAAACTGATTAAAGGTTGGTTTTGGATCATTCCTCTCTACTTTAGTCTCTTTTTTGGGGTCAGATTGCATTTCAGTCGTTGTGATCGGACTCGATTATGGATTTCAGACCACATTCTCTATATGATCCTCTTATCTCTTTCTTCTCGAAACTCAGTTATGGAAAAATGAACTGATCAATTGATTTTATCATGGGACAACTCATGATGTTCATATCAATCTACTACGCGCTTATTTATCTGAATAGCGGTTCAAGCATGGGCCAGAGTTTTTAGGTTCGAGAGTCTTTGATTTGTTGTTCTAATTTTCGCGGTAAGGATATGTGGTTAGTTTGTGTTTACTCGTCGGCGATCGAGAGCTTGTCGAGGTTGTGTTCACAGTGAACTTTTTAAAGTTGAGAGGTGTTGTTGTATCTATTTTTTGTCTGTGTATTTTGTGTTTGTTTTGTTTGTCTCCGCCTCTAAAAGTGTGTAGTCTCCTTGTGGAGTTTTAAATTTTCCCTAGGGAAGTGTTGTTGTTTTTGTATTTTGAAGCTTTATTTTGTTTAATCCCCTTGATAGCTTGTTGTACTTCCAATGGAATGACTCTAATCACTACAAGAATTTTATATTTTGTGACAATTTTCTTTGAATCTAATTAAATTTTTTTATAATTTGTGAAGTAGAAATGACTCACTAATCACTACAAAAATTTTATATTTTGTGACAATTTTCTTTGCAACGAGTTAAACTTTTTCATAATTTGTTAAGTAGAAATGACAAATTTTATTTTTGTCACTATAAAATACTTTTTTTATGGCATCATTTACTTTTGTCACCAAATCACATTTGGTATGATAATTTTTTGTGCGATGAAGAATAATTTTAAATTTTTTTGTAAGCAATAAAGCTAAATTTTATTTTCATCACTGAAAAATTTTCTTTTTATGATATTGTTAATTGTGGTCACTATATCATATATTTTGTGACAAATATTTTTTACGATGAGTGATATTTTATCACAACTTAATAGGTGACAGTGACAAAATTTATTTTCTTCACTAATAAATATCTTATTAGACATTCTTAATGTTTGTCACAAATGTACATATTCTACGATGAATTCGTACAATTAAATAGTTAACGTGATATATTTTATTTTGGCTAAAATGCAATTTTGGTTCTTTTAGATTATGAAGGTAGAAATTTAGGTTCCACTAGAGTGACAATAACTAATTAAGTCCTGTAATTTAATATTTTGTTGCAATTTCAGTCATTTGACGGTTAAAATTTTCAGTTTTGACAATCAAAAGGACTGAAATTCAACAAAATTTAAAGTTATAAAACGTAAATTGCTAATCAAAATCTATCTTAAATATATAAAGTAGAAATTCTAACTGCTAAATGATTGAAATTGCAGCAAAATTTTAAGTTACAGGATTGAAATGTTATATGTCATTACAGCGGGATCTAAATTACTACTTTCATAATTTAATTGGACCAATTTGCAATTTAGTCGTTTTTGTCACTAAAAAAGTACCTTATGACGCTGTTAGTTTTCGTTACAAAATACACATCATACGATAACTTCTGTCATAATTTAGTATTTATTAATAATAAATTTTATTTTTATCTGAAAAGTGTGATATTTATGACACTGTTAACTTTTGTCACAAAGTTAAATACGACGTTTGAAAAATGGAGTTATAAGATGACATGTTGTATGATCAATATTTATCCTATTTATAATCACTAGTTTATGCATTTAATAATGATATATTTATTTTAGCTTTTGTAATTGTAGTTACTATTTTTTATAGATTATATACATAAAATAATGGCCCAGTATAATTCAAAGATAAAATATAAATAGTAGGCAACTTTTATAATTTTTTAATACTAAAAAGTATTTTTTACATATTTAATACATAACTTTTACATATATGTAATTATGATTTGCATATTGATATGGGATATACATATCGGGTTGACTTACAGTAAAAAACAACCTGATTGAACCTGGTAGGTCGAACAGAGATCGAAGGTGCTACAAGTGAAGAGTTCTCAGGTCGACGAAAACGTTCTGGATCCAAGAAGCACAGTCAGGTCGAGCTAGTATCGTCGGATGACATAGTTGAAACTCAACCTGAAGGCATGATTGGTCGTCGGATCGACCAGATGAGCAGAGCATATGAGCTCAGCACTAACAGCACTCCACCTCGAGGTAATTTGAGTCGGTCGCATGATTAGACCGTCTAATAAGACAGACTAATGGATAAGAAGGAATATTATTAACATAATAACCACAGGTAGATAGCGCCACGTAACCTAACAGAATTGCGCAGTTCGGACGAGCAGTTCGGATTGTCAAGGCAGCATATCCGGGCAGTTCGAGGTATTCTCATTGCAATATTACATTCTCTACACACTCTACATACACTATTGTTCATCGTCTTCATCTGTGACTGACTTGATCGTTGAAGTGTTAACGCCTGGGAACCCCTGCTGACCCATTTTACAGGTCCACGATCAGGTTAGAGAATAGATCCAGATCATGTGAACCCCATTTTACAAGTCCACCATCAGGTCAGAGAATAGATCCAGATCATGTGAACCCGATCGAAGTCGTTTATACGCCACATACATATAGCGCAAGCAATTTTGATAAATAAAGGCTTCAATATATTTAATATCTAATAGTCAAAATATAAAAATAATAAAATTTTCTCTTGGATTTATGGATTAAATTCTGGCTCTTTATCTGCCTCTCTTAAAGCCTCCAACATCAAATCCTACATCAATATGTATACTTCATTTTCTCTCTCCCTTTGAACCCACAGTCTGAGTTGTCTCCCTTTCATCTCGTTTTTCTTTTGTGAGAATCAAGTTTCTGTGTGAACTGTGATAGGAGAGTGCGCGTGTGAGTAGAGAGACATCACTTTGTTCGAGCAGATGATTTCCTTAGTGCTACAAATTTTGGGCATAGAAGATTTGAGAAAAAATATGACTGTTTAATCTTATTATTGGAAATTACAGAAGACATCAAAATAGTAAAAGACCAGTAAGAGCCAAAACATCAAAGCATAAATGTACCACTCTTAACAAAGTGAATCAGAGATCCTTCAAATTAACTGCAAGCATTGTCTCTCGGAAGACGTAGAAATCGGGACGCTCTGTTCGAATCTGAAGAAATTACAGGGATCAACCTTACCTTTCACCCGGATAAGCCTATCGAAATTGCTCAAGTAATACTTGGGACCCCACAAATACGGGCAGCTGCAGTTGGAGTCATCGCAATTACTCGACCGCCCAATATCGAGATCCTTGTAGTTAACATAAGCTTCCCTCGCCCTTCCTCCACTCGGAATATAACGGCCCATAGTCTCGTAAACCCTCCTCATAAACTCCGTGTTCTTAGCTTCCGCTTCCAAGCTCTCCGCATCACTCCAACTGACGACGTACTGTATCATACCCTGCACCTTCCTGTGCGGGTACGGCGTATCCTCTTCCCCGACACTCGCCATCGCCCCACCAAACGGATTCCATATCGTCAGCAACGAGAATTTGAATTCCCGCCGCCGGTGGAAATCGACCAATTTCTCGAGTCCCTCCACCGGCATGTTCCCCCTCGGAAAATCCGACTTCGCTTTGAAAGCACTCACGAACGCGGGCTTCCCCGTGAGCAAATACTCGGGCTTCGTCCCGTTTACGTACCCTCCCGTGAACACGACGGACTCGATCCACGTCATCTCTGCGCACTCCGAGTCGTCGAGCCCGAGCTCGGGGAAGCTTCTCCGCATAACACGGAGAAGCTCGTCTCGTTTCCCGAGAAACACCGCGTTGTAGACCGAAATCGGTTCGTCTCCCGCCGCGGATTGCGTAAGGACACGTATGAACGTCCGGTTATCGATCTCGTGGGCCACCTTTTGCCACCTGTCGAGAATCCCTATCCCAAATCGGTTCAACGGCCGCGCGGCGTTGAAAACCGTGACTTTAGTCGGGACGGTGACGAGCCGGAGCTTCCACGCGAGGATCACGCCGAAGTTGCCGCCGCCGCCTCCCCGGACGGCCCAGAAGAGGTCGGGATAGGCGGCGGCCGAGGCCACGATGAGGCGGCCGTCGGCCGTCACGACTCGAGCAGCGAGGGCGTTATCGACACCGAGGCCGTGGGCCCGCATCAAGGCGCCGTAGGCGCCTCCGGTGATGTGGCCGCCGATCCCAACGCTGCCGTAGAGGCCGGCGGGGAAGGCGAGGGTGCCGCGGCTGGATTCAGCCACGTGATAGTAGAGCTCGCCTATGGTGGCGCCGGATTGGACCCACGCGGTGCGTGTCGCCACGTCGACGCTGACGTGTCGGAGGTGCTGGAGGTCGAGGAGGATGAACGGTGGGCGGTGGGGTAGGAGGGAGATGTAGGAGAGGCACTCGTAGTCGTGGCCGCCGCTGCGGACGCGGAGGTCGAGGTGGAGGTCACGTGCGCACGTGACGGCGGGGGACACGTGGGATTCGTGGAGTGGGGTGAAGATGAGGAAGGGTTTGGGGATGGAAGGGGAAAGGCAGCGGAGGTTTTGGGCGGTGGAGTTGAGGAGGGAGGAGAAGGAAGTGGGGTTGATGGTAGGGGAGTAGATGGTGGAGAAGGGGATTCGAGAGGAGGATTCCGGCTGGCGGTTGAGGCAGCGGTGGAAGGCTTCGGGAGTGGGGTTAGGCTGCAGCGGCGGTGGTCGAGGTGGAGGACAAGGGTACGTGGCGGCTGGTGGTTGGAGGATAGTGGTCAAAGTGATCAGTGCCAAGGACAGAAATATTGGGTGTATCCTCATCGTGTAATTCGGTGACTCTACTTATGCGCGTCAGTGTGTCTGTCTTTTGATCTATTTATTTATTTATATTATAAGGTAAAAAGGTCAACTCTGTGGTAACTAGATTTTAATTTTGAATCAGAGTTGGCATGAACTTTTATATAAAGCAAAAGGTCAACTATGGCAAAAGGTGGATTTCACGTTAGATTTGTTGATTAATTAGAATTAATGAAAAAATATTAATTATGTTAGATTTGAGAGTAATTTTGAGTTTGTATTAATATAATAGTTATAATAAAATTATTAAAGTTAATTTGATTTAAAAGTATGAGATATGTGATTGGAAATTATGACTAGTTAAAATTAGGTGAATAATGTATTAAAGTTGATTGGATGGTGTGAGGATAATTTTTGATATTATTTAATTGTATTTATAATATTGAGAATAGTAGTTGAGTTAAATATGTTAAGTTTTGAATTAAAAAAAAAAAGTGATTGGTAAAAAATGATTGGAGAACTTAGCCACTACTCTCTAATTATCTAGATCTTTTTATTGAGGTGATTTTCTTGAAAATTAAAATAAATTTACATAAGTTCTTGTGTCATTTTATTTTTTATTAATATCCTTTTGAAATTCGTATTGACCGAGTAATTATCTAGATCTTTTTATTGAGGTGATTTTCTTGAAAATTAAAATAAATTTACATAAGTTCTTGTGTCATTTTATTTTTTATTAATATCCTTTTGAAATTCGTATTGACCGAGTTCATTTGACCATGTATGAGGATTTGAATTTGCAATTTGGTACACTTAGTCCGGTAAACCGGACTAAATCATTGTGACCGAATTGGGTAAACCGGGATTTCACATCTTAGTCCGGTAGAAGATATTGGAGTGAAATAACTTTTTTCACTACCCATGTGCTGCGAAATGCTCAGCTTTCTTGACTGTCTATTAGGCGTTAATGTCTTACACTCTTCGATATTATGACTTTACCTCCCAACGAAACACATAAATCCCATGAAAGCTGAGGAAAAGATGTATGGACTAAAGGGCGACCCACGTGAAGTATTTATGCTTGCGGGTGACCTTTGCAATTGGCAGATTTGGACAGCATTTAATACGGTTGCGAGATATAAACTTATAAGCTTGCTTGGCTGGCATAAATATAATATTCTCTCTTGTTTTTAATAAATGTCATTTTGAGAAGTTGCACATTATTTAAAAATATTTTTTTTACCAATAATAACATTCATTAATGAGGATAGAGATAGATGTTTTGAGAAAAGATAAAGAATAAATATGAAAAGACGTAGTGTATTTATTAGCTAGATAAGAGTAATAATGCGAAGCATAGGGATAACCCTTTTTCGTGCTCCCATATTATTTTGCAGGTTGACCGACATCTCTCCCTACTCACTGTTTTGGGCAGACTCACCCAGAGAGACTGGACAGGTTACACGCCTCCTCACCGCCTTGCACCACCTCCTCTGCCACCTATCCAGCACCCACGCCCCAGAGCTGTTGTTTGGCTGAGACCCGAGCCCCTTTGGGTTAAGCTAAACACTGATGGATCCTTTGACCGACTTACTGAAGCCGCCGGAGGTAGGGGCCTGATTAGGGACCATAGTGGTGCTCTTATTACCGCTTTCCATGCACCTTTTTGGGCCTCCTCGAGCTACGATGCGGAGATTCAGGCGCTTCAGATTGGTCTGCAGATTGCTGCCTCGATCTCATCTCACATTTGGATAGAGTTGAACGTTGCTGCTGTCATTACTCTCTTGACCACTGGCCATCAGGGCACATGGCAGATTCAGCATCCGCTCATGCGTATTAGGGCCACACTTCGGTCGATTCGCTTTCTGATCTCGCATATCTTCCGTGAGGGGAACCGTCCTGCTGACTTCCTCGCAGGCATCGGGTCCTCCACCCTCCAAAGGCGCATACTTTATCCTGACGATATTCCTCTTCGCCTCCGCACCCTTATACGGATGGACCAGATGGGATACCCTTCATTCAGATTTGTATAGCCAGTCGTATACCCTAGTGTAGCCGTCTCTACGTTACATTGACTTTCATGTCTGGACTCTTCCCGGACCATGAGACGCTAGCATTGTGTTACTGGCAGTTATTACTAGCCTTTTCTTGTTTTCTTTTTCATTTCTAGTTTTGCCTTTTCTTTGACTTGTTGTATTTCAGATAGTGGTCTTGTAGTGGGACTTGTAGAATTGTGACTTTTCTGCCCATTTAGGGTCATTATATATACAGGTTGAGGGTCTAGCCTAACCCCTCACCCTAATTGCAATATGTAGAGCTGACTCGAGGATTTATAAACCCTTGGAAATTAGGAATTAAAAGCCCATCTAATAATATCCTACTTGCTACATAAAATATGAGGTCTGGTAATGGCGTAATGCTATATATGACTTTCGCCATACCTACAATATTACAAGTACTTAAATTGTATGTAAATGTGAGGTGTACTTTTACTAAATTGTATGTGCTTTGTAAAGCTTCTCAAATAGCATTATTAAACATATGACAATTTTTACCAAACTATCCTATAAGTATAATTAATTTAAGTTTTCAAACTTATACCATAGAAATAGAAAAGACACCTCCCTTGTGTAAAAACAGTAAAATAATCTCATATAATTGGTTGACAAAAAGAAAATGTGTATCTTCTTAAACACTATTGTACACAAATAATATTATTTTTTTAATGTGTATCTCCCCTTCATCTCCATTTTCTTTTGCGAGAATCAAGTTTCTGTGTGAACTGTGATAGGAGAGTGCGCGTGTGAGTAGAGAGACATCACTTTGTTCAAGCGCATGATTTCCTTAGTGCTACAAATTTTGGGCATAGAAGATTCGAGAAAAAATATGACTGTTTAATCTTATTATTGGAAATTACATAAGACATCAGAATAGTAAAAGGCCAGTAAAAGCCAAAACATCAAAGCATAAATGCACCACTCTTAAGAAAGTGAATCAGAGATCCTTCATTAACTTCAAGCATTGTCCCTCGGAAGACGTAGAAACCGGGACGCTCTGTTCGAATCTGAAGAAATTACAAGGATCAACCTTACCTTTCACCCGGATAAGCCTATCGAAATTGCTCAAGTAATACTTGGGACCCCACAAATACGGGCAGCTGCAGTTGGAGTCATCGCAATTACTCGACCGCCCAATATCGAGATCCTTGTAGTTAACATAAGCTTCTCTCGCCCTTCCTCCACTCGGAATATAACGGCCCATAGTCTCGTAAACCCTCCTCATAAACTCCGTGTTCTTAGCTTCCGCTTCCAAGCTCTCCGCATCACTCCAACTGACGACGTACTGTATCATACCCTGCACCTTCCTGTGCGGGTACGGCGTATCCTCTTCCCCGACACTCGCCATCGCCCCACCAAACGGATTCCATATCGTCAGCAACGAGAATTCGAATTCCCGCCGCCGGTGGAAATCGACCAATTTCTCGAGTCCCTCCACCGGCATGTTCCCCCTCGGAAAATCCGACTTCGCTTTGAAAGCATTCACGAACGCAGGCTTCCCCGTGAGCAAATACTCGGGCTTCGTCCCGTTTACGTACCCTCCCGTGAACACGACGGACTCGATCCACGTCATCTCCGCGCATTCCGACTCGTCGAGCCCGAGCTCGGGGAAGCTTCTCCGCATAACACCGAGAAGCTCGTCTCGTTTGCCGAGAAACACCGCGTTGTAGACCGAAATCGGGTCGTCTCCCGCCGCGGATTGCATAAGGACACGGATGAACGTCCGGTTATCCATCTCGTGGGCCACCTTTTGCCACCTGTCGAGAATCCCTATCCCGATTCGGTTCAACGGCCGCGCGGCGTTGAAAACCGTGACTTTCGGCGGGACGGTGACGAGCCGGAGCTTCCACGCGAGGATCACGCCGAAGTTGCCCCCTCCGCCTCCCCGGACGGCCCAGAAGAGGTCGGGATAGGCGGCGGCCGAGGCCACGACGAGGCGGCCGTCGGCCGTCACGACGAGAGCGGCGAGGGCATTATCGACACCGAGGCCGTGGGCCCGCATCAAGCCACCGTAGGCGCCTCCGGTGATGTGGCCGCCGATCCCGATGCTGCCGTAGAGGCCGGCGGGGAAGGCGAGGGTGCCGCGGCTGGATTCAGCCACGTGATAGTAGAGTTCGCCTATGGTGGCGCCGGATTGGACCCACGCGGTGCGTGTCGCCACGTCGACGCTGACGTGGCGGAGGTGCTGGAGGTCGAGGAGGATGAACGGTGGGCGGTGGGGTAGGAGGGAGATGTAGGAGAGGCACTCGTAGTCGTGGCCGCCGCTGCGGACGCGGAGGTCGAGGTGGAGGTCGCGTGCGCACGTGACGGCGGGGGACACGTGGGACTCGTGGAGTGGGGTGAAGATGAGGAAGGGTTTGGGGATGGAAGGGGAAAGGCAGCGGAGGTTTTGGGCGGTGGAGTTGAGGAGGGAGGAGAAGGAAGTGGGGTTGATGGTAGGGGCATAGATGGTGGAGAAGGGGATTCGGGAGGAGGATTCCGGGCGGCGGTTGAGGCACCGGTGGAAGGCTTCGGGAGTGAGGTTAGACGGCGGCGGTGGTGGTCTCGGGGGAGGACAAGGGTACGTGGCGGCTGGTGGTTGGAGGATAGTGGTCAAAGTGATAAGTAACAAGGACAACAATATTGGGTGGATGTGTATCCTCATCATGTAATGTAACTGTACTTAGCTTAATATGTGTGTCAGTGTGCGTCTCTTGTGATCTATTTATAAGGTAAAGAGGTCAACTCTTGTGGTAACTAGATTTTAATTTTGAATCAAAGTTGGCATTTATCTACCTATAGTAAAGAGGTTTGTGGAAAAATACAAAAAGAGTAACTTTGACATGAAAAATTAATTGTTGACTTACTAATATAAACAACATCAATGGGCCCCACATGTCAACCAATTTAATCGGATTTTGGTAACAAATTTGATCAGATTTTGATAACAAATCTCAGATTTTGGTAACAAATTTGATCTTATTTTGATGACATATATCGGATTTTGTTAACAAGTTTGATCTGATTGTTATAACAAATCTCGGATTGTGATAACAAATATCGGATTTTAGTAACAAATTTGATCTGATTGTAATAACAAATCTCGAATTTTGATAACAAATCTTTTAAATATCGATTTTTTTATTTTGCAACATATATATTGCGGATAATCTTTGAGATTTCTTTTGGTAACAAACTTCACAATTTGTTCGATTGTTTGGAGTTAAATATTTCATCAAAAATCTCGAGATTTGATAAATGATACATATCAAAATAAAGATATTATTTTTCAAACAATCCAAAAAGCCTTACAAAATTAAATTGTAACAAACTCCATTAATTTTGGTAAATAATATGTCACATTCATATTGCACATAATCTTCAAAATAAAAAATTAAATATTGACTTACTAATATAAGCAATATCAATGGGCCCCACATGTGAACCAATTTGATCGGATTTTGATAATAAATTTGATCTCGGATTGTGATAACAAATCTCGAATTTTGTTAACAAATTTGATCTCGGATTGTGATAACAAATCTTTTAAAATATCGGTTTTTTTGGTAACATACTTCATAGATATTTATACACAATATATTGCCGATAATATTTGAGATTTTTTTTGTAACAAATTTCATAATTTTTTAGGATTTTTTGGAGTTAAATATTGCAGAAAAAATCTCGAAATTTGATAAATGATACTTAGCAAAATAAAAATATTATTTTCAATCAATCTAAAAAGTCTTACTAAATTAAATTGAAACAAACTCTATTAATTCTGGTAAACATTATGTCACATTGATATGGCACATAATTTTCTATAATCGACAAAATCCAAGACACATGTAACACGTTGCACATTTTTTGTTTTTGTTTTTGTTTTAACAAAAACGGATAAAAATATTTTTTGAAGTCGATCGTAATCACATTATTTAGGAAAATACATCCTACTCAACTTAAAAACCTAACGTAAATCAATTTTTATATTTTATATCAATATTTTATTGATTTATATAATCTACACTATCCAAACTACTAATGGTCGTTACAAATATATATTTAGAAAACAAGTAACTACTCGGATAAGGGTTTGAATAATATGATTGATAAGTATGATCTTATTTCTTAAGCTAATTCGATCTATTTTAACTTGATATTTTGTAACTATATCTCCTCTATGGGTTTGTGTAATGGGACACGATTGGTTGTGACAAAGCTCTCTACTCACGTTCTCGAGTGTAAGATACTCACTGGCGATCACACAAGTGATAAAGTGTTGATTCCAATAATGTTATATTTCATTCTGATGTTAGAATTCCTTTCAAGTTCCAGCATTGGCAGTTTCCCATTATGGTTTCTTACGCCATGACAATAAATAAGAGCAATGGACAATCATTTGCATTTGGGCTTATTTCTTAAGAACCCAATATTTTGTCATGACCAGTTGTAAGTTTTTGTCTCCTGTGTCATAAACAGAAATGATTTGAAAATCCTAATTTGATAACGAATCTCGGATTTTGGTAACAAATTTGATCTTATTTTGATGATACATCTCGGATTTTGTTAACAAGTTTGATCTGATTGTTATAACAAATTTCGGATTTTGCTAACAAATTTGATTTGATTGTAATAACAAATTTCAGATTTTGATAACAAATCTTTTAAATATCGGTTTTTTCTTTTTGCAACACACTTCATAGTTATTTACACACAATATATTGCCGATAATCTTTGGGATTTCTTTTGGTAACAGATTTCACAATTTTTTTGAATGTTTGGAGTTAAATATTTCATTAAAAAAATCTCGAGATTTGATAAATGATACATATCAAAATAAAGATATTATTTTTCAAACAATCCAAAAAGCCTTACCAAATTAAATTGTAACAAACTTCATTAATTTTGGCAAACAATATGTCACATTCATATTGCACATAATCTTCAAACTCCATTAATTTTGGCAAACAATATGTCACATTCATATTGCACATAATCTTCAAAATAAAAAATTAATTGTTGACTTACTAATATAAGCAATATCAATGGGCCCCACATGTCAACCAATTTAATCGAATTTTGGTAACAAAATTTATCGGATTTTGATAACAAATCTTGGATTTTTGTAACAAATTTGATCTTATTTTGATAACAAATCTCGGATTTTGTTAACAAATTTGATCTCGGATTGTGATAACAAATATCGGGTTGTGATAACAAATCTTTTAAAATATCGATTTTTTTGGTAACATACTTCATAGTTATTTATATTTTATACACAATATAGTGCCGATAATATTTGAGATTTCTTTTGATTACAAATTTCACATTTTTTTCGGATTGTTTGGAGTTAAATGTTGCAGACAAATATAGAGATTTGATAAATGATACATATAAAAATAAAAATATTAGTTTTCAATCAATCCAAAAAGTCTTACCAAATTAATTTGTAACAAACTCCGTTAATTTTGGTAAACATTATGTCATATTGGTATGGCACATAATGTTCACAATAAAAAAAATTAATTGTTGACTAATATATGCAATATCAATGGCCGCACATGTCAACCAATTTAATCGGATTTTGATAACAAAACTCGGATTTTGGTAACAAATTTGATCTTATTTTGGTAACGAATCTCGGATTTTGTTAACAAATTTGATCTGATTATGATAACAAATCTCGGATTTTGATAACAAATCTTTTAAAATATCTATGTTTTTGGTAACACATTTCATAGTTATCTATACACAATATATTGTCGATAATCTTTGGGATTTCTTTTGGTAACAAATTTCACAAGTTTTTCGGATTGTTTGGAGTTAAATATTCCAGAAAAAATCTCGAGATTTTGATAAATGATACATATCAAAATAAAAATATTATTTTCAATCAATCCAAAAAGTCTTACCAAATTAAATGGTAACAAACTCCATTAATTTTGGTAAACATTATGTCACATTGATATGACACATAATCTTTAAAATAAAAAATTAATTGTTGACATACTAATATAAGCAATATCAATGGGCTCCATATGTCAACCAATTTAATGGAATTTTGGTAACAAATTTGATCGGATTTTGATAACAAATCTCGAATTTTGGTAACAAATTTGATCTTATTTTGATAACAAATCTCGGATTTTGTTAACAAATTTGACCTGATTGTGATAAAAATCTCGGATTGTGATAACAAATCTCGAATTTTTATAACAAATCTTTTAAAATATCGGTTTTTTTGTTAACACACTTCATAGTTATTTACACATAATATATTGCCGATAATCTTTGTGATTTCTTTTGGTAACAAATTTCATAATTTTTTCAGATTATTTAGGGTTAAATATTGCAGAAAAAATCTGAAGATTTGATAAATGATACATATCAAAATAAAAATATTATTTTTCAATCAATCATAAAAGCCTTACTACATTAAATTGTAACAAACTCCATTAATTTTGGTAAACATTATGTCACATTGATATGACACATAATGTTCAAAATAAAAAATTAATTGTTGACTTACTAATATAAACAATATCAATGAGCTCCACATGTCAACCAATTTAATTGGATTTTGGTAACAAATTTGATCGGGTTTTGATAACAAATCTTGGACTTTAGTAACGAATTTGATCTTATTTTGATAATAACTCTTGGATTTTGTTAACAAATTGGATCTGATTGTGATAACAAATCTCGGATTTTGATAAAAAATCATTTAAAATATCAGTTTTTTATGCTAACACACTTCATAGTTATTTACACACGAAATAACTCGATTACAAAATTAAATCATAACAAACTCTATTAATTCTGGTAAACATTATGTCACCTTGATATGGCACATAATTTTCAATAATCGACAGAATCCAAGACACATGTAACACGTTGCACATTTTTTGTTTTTGTTTTTGTTTTAACAAAAATGGATAAACATATTTTTTGAAGTCGATCGTAATCACATTATTTAGGAAAATAAATCTTACTCAACTTAAAAACCTGACGTAAATCAATTTTTATATTTTATACCAATATTTTATTTATTTATATAATCTACACTATCCAAACTACTAATGGTTGTTACAAATATATAACTAGAAAACAAGTAACTACTCGGATAAGGGTTTGAATAATATGATTGATATGTATGATCTTATTTCTTAAGGTAATCTGATCTTTTTTAACTTGATATTTTGTAACTATATCTCCTCTATGGGTTTGTGTAATGGGACACGATTGGTTGTGACAAAGCTCTCCACTCACGTTCTCGAGTGTAAGATACTCACTGGCGATCACGCAGGTGATAAAGTGTTGATTCCATGAATGTTATATTTCATTTTGATGTTAGAATTCCTTTCAAGTTCCAGAATTGGCAGTTTCTCATTAGGATTTTTACGCCATGACTATAAATAAGAGCAATGGACAATCATTTGCATGTGGGCTTATTTCTTAAGAAACCAGTTTTTTGTCATGACCAGTTGTAAGTTTTTGTCTCATGTGTCATAAACAGAAATGGTTTGAAAATCCTAATTTGATAACAAATCTCGGATTTTAGTAACAAATTTGATCTTATTTTGATGACATATCTCGGATTTTGTTAACAAGTTTGATCTGATTGTTAAAACAGATCTCGGATTGTGATAACAAATCTCGAATTTTGTTCACAAATTTGATCTGATTGTGATAACAAATCTCGGATTTTGATAACAAATCTTTTAAATATCGGTTTTTTCTTTTTGCAACACACTTCATAGTTATTTACACACAATGTATTGCCGATAATCTTTGGAATTTCTTTTGGTAACAAATTTCACAATTTTTTTGATTATTTGGAGTTAAATATTTCATCAAAAAAATCACGAGATTTGATAAATGATACATATCAAAATAAAGATATTATTTTTCAAACAATCCAAAAAGCCTTACCAAATTAAATTGTAACAAACTCCATTAATTTTGGTAAACAATATGTCACATTCATATTGCACATAATCTTCAAAATAAAAAATTAATTGTTGACTTACTAATATAAGCAATATCAATGGGCCCCACATGTGAACCAATTTAATCGAATTTTGGTAACAAATTTTATCGGATTTTGATAACAAATCTTGGATTTCTGTAACAAATTTGATCTTATTTTGATAACAAATCTCGGATTTTGTTAACAAATTTGATCTCGGATTGTGATAACAAATCTTTTCAAATATCGGTTTTTTTGGTAACATACTTCATAGTTATTTATAAACAATATATTGCCGATAATATTTGGGATTTCTTTTTGTTACAAATTTCACAATTTTTTTGGATTGTTTGGAGTTAAATATTGCAGAAACAAATATCGAGATTTGATAAATGATACATATCAAAATAAAAATATTAGTTTTCAATCAATCCAAAAAGTCTTACCAAATTAATTTGTAACAAACTCCGTTAATTTTGTTAAACATTATGTCACATTGGTATGTCACATAATGTTCACAATAAAAAAATAATTGTTGACTTACTAATATATGCATTATCAATGGCCCCACATGTCAACCAATTTAATCGGATTTTGATAACAAATCTCGAATTTTGGTAAAAAATTTGATCTTATTTTGATAACAAAGCTCGGATTTTGTTAACAAAATTGACCTGATTATGATAACAAATCTTTTAAAATATCTATTTTTTTGGTAACACATTTCATAGTTATTTACACACAATATATTGTCGATAACCTTTGGGATTTTTTTTTTTTTTTTGTAACAAATTTCACAATTTTTTGGATTGTTTGGAGTTAAATATTGCAGAAAAAATCTCGAGATTAGATAAATGATACATATCAAAATAAAAGTATTATTTTCAATCAATCCAAAAATCCTTGCAAAATTAAATTGTAACAAACTCCATTAATTTTGGTAAACATTATGTCACATTGATATGACACATAATCTTCAAAATAAAAAATTAATTATTGACTTACTAATATAAGCAATATCAATGGGCCCCACATGTCAACCAATTTAATGGGATTTGATAACAAATTTGAACGGATTTTGATAACAAATCTCGAATTTTGATAACAAATTTGATCTTATTTTGATAACAAATCTCGGATTTTGTTAACAAATTTGATCTGATTGTGATAAAAATCTCGGATTGTGATAACAAATCTCGGATATTTATAACAAATCTTTAAAAATATCGTTTCTTTTCTTGTTAACACACTTCATAGTTTATTACACACAATATATTGCTGATAATCTTTGGGATTTCTTTTGGTAACAATTTTCATAATTTTTTCGGTTTATTTAGAGTTAAATATTGCAGAAAAAATCTGAAGATTTGATAAATGATACATATCAAAATAAAAATATTATTTTTCAATCAATCCAAAAAGCCTTACCAAATTAAATTGTAACAAACTCCATTAATCTTGGTAAACATTATGTCACATTGATATGACACATAATGTTCAAAATAAAAAATTAATTGTTGACTTACTAATATAAACAATATCAATGGGCCCCACATGTCAACCAATTTAATTGGATTTTGGTAACAAATTTGATCGGGTTTTGATAACGAATCTGGAATTTTGGTAACAACTTTGATCACATAAAGACAAACCCAGAATTTTTTCAAATACCAAAGCAAATATGAGAAGAAAATATTAAAATCCAAGCAGATAATGCATTATTATTCTTTGGACATTCATTGTCTCTTCCCTATATATACACAGAAACAATTAGTTAGATGATAAGGAAGAAACTCACAAACACATAACATCAAATATAACAGAAAAAAATAAATAAATAAATCATGTTTTTACAGTAAAATTACCTTTCAATTTCTCTCACAAAATAAGTTGGAAACTAACATGGAACGCAGTTTTCTAAACCCAAAATCAGTAAATCATAGATCTAATATCAACCTAAGAAACTCCCACGACAAAATCACAACTTTGTATCCAAATAATTTAGTACCAGGTCCTGCGCCTCAACAAGTTACATGTTGAGACTCAATATGACGGTGGCGCCGACTGCGGGAGAAAGGAATCAGACAGGGAGCAGATCTCGTGACGTTGGCGACCGATCCGATAGCGATGAGGATGCAAACCTCCTGCCGGTGGTGCGTGGCATAGGCGGAGAAGCTCTCATGGATCTGTTGGACACCTTCATCACGTCGGTCCTTATGGCGTTGGTGCTGTCACAGGTGATGACCATGGCGATTTTTGGTTTTCCGAACCAAATGGGGGTGAAGTATATGAGAGTAAATTTAATTGAAAAAAATTAAAGATTAAGATGGAATAAAGATACGTGAAATCTCGTTCAAATGGAAAGGAAAAGTTTTATGTGATAATAAAAACATCTTATCAGGAAATAAAAATTTAATGCCTCGTCCGCTGGGTCATTTTCTCTAATATGTATTCCCATGTAATAAACTGGCATTTTGATTTTTGCGTTGTGCAGGAAATGTTCCGAGGGTCGATGGCCAGCTGGCAATGACGAGGGCTTTTGGAGACGAGAAGGTAATGAAACACATAACGGTCGAACCAGATGTCACCATCGAGAAAATTGATGAAGATATTGAATATGTCATATTGGCGAGTGATGGCCTTTGGAAGGTGAAGGTATTTTACCTAAACGAGTAGCTTACTAATTGTAATTTGACAATTTCCCATCATGCTACTATCGCTTGTAAAAAGATAAAAAAAAAAAATAGCCATTTTTTGTGGAAGTATGAAATAATAGTCCTAAAATGACATAATTGCCCTTACTATCAAAAATTGTTTTTTAAAAACCAATAGTAAAGGTAATTGTCATTTCACATAGCAAAATGACCATCATTCATACTTCTACAAAAAGTGGTTATATTTCATCTTTGCATTTGTTACTTGGCTATAAAACCAAAGGACTGTAATTTCATCAGTTTTTTAGGCGTGCACATATTGGAGTGTTTGTTTTGGGCTCGGTTTGTAGGTAATGTCAAGTGAAGAAGCTGTGGGTTGCATTCAAGGGTTGAAAGATGAGCAAGAATCAGCCGAGAAGCTGATTGAGGAGGCGCTTTCGAGGGAGAGCAAAGACTATATTTCATGTGTTGTGGTCATGTTTCATTGACGATTTCGTGTTTTT